ATCCATTTACTTTAAGATTATGTGAGTCCTTATGTGTTAGGTGAGTCTCCTGAAAGCAGCAGACAGTTGATTGGTGATGTCTTATCCATTTTGTGGTTCTGTATTTTTTAACTGGGGCATTTAGGTCATTTACATTCAATGTTAGTATTCAGGTGTGAGGTACTATCGATTTGTTGCCTGTATACCTTGGTTTTTTTGCTTTTTGGTTTTGCTTTTTAGATTGTAGTTTTGTTTTATAGGTCTTGCCTGTGTGATTCATGCTTTAAAGAGGTTCTATTTTGATGTGTTTCCAAGATTTGTTTTGAGATTTAGAGCTCCTTTTTTGCAGTTCTTGTAGTAATGACTTGGTAGGAGCAAATTCTGTCAGCATTTTTCTGAAAAAGGCTGTATCTTTCCTTTATATATGATTCTTAGTTTTGCTGGACACAAAATTCGTGGCTTATAATTGTTTAGTTTGAGGAGGCTGATGATAGGGCCCCAATTCCTTCTTGCTTATAGGGTTTCTGCTTAGAAATCTGCTGCTAATCTGACAAGTTTTCCTGCATAGGTTACCTGGTGCTTTTGTCTCACAGCTCTTAAGAGTCTTTCCTTCCTCTTAACTTTAGATAACCTGATAACAATGTGCCTAGGTGACAATCTTCTTGCTATAAATTTTCCAGGTGTTTTTTGTGTTTCTTGTATGTGGATGTCTAGGTCATCAGCAAGACCAGGGAAGTTTTCCTTGATTATTCTCCCATATGTTTTCCAAATCTTTAGATTTCTCTTCTTCACTGGGAACACTGATTATTCTTAGGTTTGGTCATTTTACATATTCCCAGACTTCTTGGAGGCTTTGTTCATATTTCTTATTCGTTTGTCTCTGTCTTTGTTGGATTGGGTTAATTCAAAGACCTAGTCTTTGAGCTCTGAATTTCTTTCTTCTACTTGTGAATTTCTATTGCTGAGACTTTACAGAGCATTTTGCACTTCTAAAAGTGTATCCAATGTTTCCTGAAGTTTTGATTGCTTTTTATTTATGCTATCTATTCCCTTGAATATTTCTCCATTTGCTTATTGTATCATTTTTTGGATTTCTTTGCAAGGCTTTGCCTTTCTCTGGTGCCTCCCTGATTGGCTTAATAACTGACATCCTGAATCCTTTTTCAGGTAAGTCAGGGATTTTTTTTCTTGGTTTGGATCCACTACCGGTGACTTTGGAGGGGGTGTTAAAGAGCCCTGTTTTGTCGTATTATCAAAGTTGGTTTTTTGATCCCTTCTCATTTGGTTAGGTTCTGTCAGAGGGAAGGTCTAGGGCTGAAGGCTGTTGTTCAGATTCTTTTGTCCCACAGGTTGTTCCCATGATGTAGTACTCTCCCCCTCTTCCTATGGGTATGGCTTCCTGTGAGCAGAGCTGCAGTGACTGTTATCTCTCTTTTTGGTCTAGCCACCCAGCAAGTCTACCTGGTTTTAGGCTAGTACTGGGGGTTGTCTGTACAGAGTTCTGTGACTGTGAACCATCTATGTGTCTCTCAGCAATGGATACCAGCACCTGTTCTGGTAGAGGGAGCAGGGGGCGTGAAATGGACTCTGTGATGGGTCTGAGCTTTGTTGGTTTAATACTCTATTTTTGTGCTGATTGGCCCCCTGCAGTGGTAGCATTTTCCAGAAAGCATCAGCTGTGTTAATATGGAGAGGAACTGGTGGTGGGCGGAGCCCTAGAACTCCCAAGAGTATATGTCCTTTGTCTTCAGCTACCAGGGTGGATAGGGAAGGCCCATCAAATGGGGCAGGCCTAGGTGTGTCTGAGCTCAGACTCTCCTTGGGCAGGTCTTGCTGGAGCTGAGTATTTGGGATGTCTCCTGGGTCCTGCAGAAGCAGTCCACTTCATTCAGAGGGTGTGTGGGTCATCCCAAGATTCCTGGTTTGTTCTTGCAGTCATTCTGGAACTAAAATTCACAATGCAAGCTTCCACATGCTGCTCTGTCCATCTAAGTCCTGCCTCCCATCCACCATGATGATCATCTACCAGAAGCCTCCATTATATTTTCTAATTGATCTTTGCTAATAGTTAGGAAAGCTACTGATCTCTGTGTTTTTAAAATTATCTTATTCTTTTTTTTTTTGGATGGAGTCTTGTTCTGTTGCCCAGGCTAGAGTGAAGTGGTGTGATCTCAGCTCACTGCAACCTCTGCCTCCAGGATTCCCACTTTGGTTCTTCTTTGTGAAGGAGTCAAATACCAGATGCTTCTAGTCAGACATCTTGTAAGAGCTGTACCAAAAATCTTTAAAATATTGAGAGAACTTCAAGCTCTGTCAACATAGTAGAAAAATTTGGTGTAGAACTCCCTATCCCCTTAAAACATATGGAAATGCTGGGTAAAACATTAAAAATTTTTCTTATATAGTTAAGATTAAATACAGAATAAATTTGGATTGATGACTATAGATGAATACCCTGAGCTGATATCCTGGTAATCTGAAGAGATATTGGTTCATATATAGGCTATAAAGTTTAGAGTATAAAAATCAATATACAAAAATCTGCAGTATTTCTAACCACCAATAATGCCCAAGCTGAAGATCAAAATCAAGAAGCAATATCATTTACAATAACCACACAAAAAATAAAATACATAGGAATAGTATAACCAAGGAGGTGAAAGTTCTTTAGAAGGAAACTACAAAACACTTCTTAAAAAAATCACAGATGACACAACAAATGGAAAAACATTTCATGCTCATGGGTTGGAAGAATCAACATTGGGGGTGTGTGTGTGTGTGTGTGTGTGTTGAGATGAAGTCTCACTCTGTCACCTGGGCTGGAGTGCAGTGACATGATCTTGGCTCACTGCAACCTCTGCCTCCCAGGTTCATGTGATTCTCTGCCTCAGCCTCCTGAGTTGCTGGTATTACGGGTGTCCATCACCATGCCCGGCTAATTTTTGTATTTTTAGTAGAGACAGGGTTTCACCATCTTGGCCAGGCTGGTCTTGAACTCCTGACCTCGTGATCCACCTGCATTGGCCTCCCAAAGTGCTGGGATTACAGGGATGAGCCACTGCACCCAGCCAGAATCAACATTGTTAAAATGGCCGTGTTGTTCAAAGCAATCTACAGAGTCAGCACTATTTCTATAAAACTAGCAACATCAGTTTTGACACAGAATTAGAAAAAACTATTTTAAAATTCATGTGAATTCAAAAAACAGCCAAATAGCCAAAGCAATCCTAAGCAGAAAGAACAAAGTTGAAGGCATCACTTTACCTGACTTCTAACTAAGAGGGTACAGTAATCAAAACAGCAAGGTACTGGTACAAAAATAAATATATAGACCAATAGAACAGAATAGAATGCCTAGAAATAAAGCTGTATACCCTCAACCATCTGCTCTTTGACAAGGTTGACAAAAATAAGCAATGGGGAAAGGACTCCCTGTTTAATAAATAGTGCTGGGATAACTGGATTTTTATTTTATTTTTTATTTTTTTATTGTGTTTTAGGTTTTGGGGTACATGTGCAGAACATGTAAGATAGTTGCATAGGTACATTTGCTGCCTTCCGCCCCCTCACCCACATTTGGCATTTCTCCCCATGCTATCCCTCCCCAGCTCCCCCGCCCGCTATCCCTCCCCTATTCCCAATAGACCCCAGTGGGTAGTACTCCCTTCCCTGTGTCCAGTTCATCACCCGCCGATGAGTGGATGACTGGACTTCTATACATAAAAGAATAAAAGTGGACCCCCTACCTATTACCATGTATAAAAATTAACCAGAGATGGAGTAAAGACTTAAATGTAAGACCTCAAGCTATAAAACTCTTAGAAGACAACATAGGAAATATCCTTCTGGACATCAGAGTTGGCAAATAATTTTATAACTAAGTCCAAAAAGCAACTGCAACAGAAAAAAATTGGACAAGTGGAACATAATTAAAGAACTTCTGTATAGCAAAAGAAGCTATCAACAGTGTATTAGTCCATTTTGTGTTACTACAAAAGAATACCTGAGACTGGGTAATTTATAAAGAAAATAGGTTTATTTGACTCACAGTTCTGCAGGTCATACAAGAAGTATACTGCCAGCATGTGCTTCTGGGGAGCCCTCAGGAAGCTTACCAACAAATAACCCCATTAAAGAAATAACCCCAGTAAAAAGTGGGCAAAGGACATGCATGAACAGGCACTTCTCAAAACAAGATATACAAGCAGCCAACAAACGGGGAAAAATGCTCCACAGCACTAATCAGAGAAATGTAAACGACAATACATGCCATCTCACACCAGTGAGAATGACTCCTGCTAAAAAGTTAAAAAATAAGATGTTGGTGAGGCTGTAGAGAAAAGGGAATGCTTATTCACTGGTTAGTTAGAATGTAAATTAGTTCATTTACTGTGGAGAGCACTTTGGAGATTTCTCAAAAAACTTAAAGCAGAACTACCATTTGACCCAGAAATCCCATTACTATATACATACCCAAACGAATAAAAATCATTGTCAAAAAAAGACAGGCACTTGTATGTTCACTGCTGTACTATTCCCAATAGCAAAGACATGGAATCAACCTAGGTGCTCATCAACAGTGGACTGGATAAAGAAAATGTGATACACATATACCGTGGAATACTATGCAGCTGTAAAAAACTACGTCCTTTGCAGCAACATGGTTGCAGTTAAAAGTCATTATCATAAGTGATTTGATGCAGAAACAAAAAACCAAATACCTCATGTTTTCAGTTATACCTGGGAACTAAACATTGGGTACAGATACTCACAAAGATGGGAAGAATAGACACTGGGGACTACTAGAGGGGGAAGGGAAGAAGGGAGATAAGGGCTGAAAAAAATTGCCTTTTGCATACTATGCTCAGTACTTAGGTGATGGGATTAATTGTATCCCAAACTTCAGCATCATAAAATACACCCACATAACAAACCTGCACATGTACCCTGAATCTAAAAGCTGAAATTTTCAAAAGATAAAGGCAAAGAGTTGGAGTTTAATATTCATGCACATGACTGTATCAAGAAAAATAACCTTTTTATTGTGTGCTTAATAACATATGTAGACATAATACATAAGACAACTGTAGGATAAAAGAATAGAGGAAATAAATAACTGTACATTAGCAAAGTTCTTACATTTTACATGAAGTGGTATAAAATATTATCTATTAGTAGACTTGGAAAAGCTGTGAGTTTTTTCATACTGTAATCAATAGAGCAACCACCAAAAATGAATCAGTGTAGATAAAAGGTTAGTAGAGAATACTGAATTCCAAAAAATGGTCAATTAACACAAAAGAAGGCAAGAAAGGGGGAACAGAGGAAAAACAGCATAAGGACAAACACAAAACAAATGACAAATCATAAGTCTAAATTCACCAATATCAAAAACCACACTGAATGTCAATAAGCAGTTCAATTAAAAGGTGAAGATTATCACACTGTATACAAAAGCAAGACTCAACTACATGCTGTCTATAAGAAATATTTTTAAATATAAAGACACAGAGAGATTAAAAGTAAAAGGATATATAAATAGAACCCAGACAAACAGAAAGCATAGGAAAGCTGAAGTGGTTATTTAGATATTAGAAAAATTACAATCATCGTTGGAGATTTTAACATCACTCTATTGAAAAATTGAGAGTACGCCCAATATCTTTAGTCATTAGGTAACTGCAAATTAAAACCACGAAACAGCAAACATTAGCAACAATATGAAACAACTAGAATGTTCACGTAGTGCTTAATAAAATGTTGCAACCACATTGCAAAATAATACAAAGAGGACTATCTGGTTCTAATCCTGGCCTCCTGACAAGTGGATAACGGAGTCACATTTTACAGACGAGGGACACCAAAACCACACATGAGGGGTACAAGAGCGGCTTTATCATGGATTCAGGGCTGTGGTTACAAGGAAGCTGGAAGGAATAAAATGACTCCCATGAAGACGTACTGTGAGGACGTGTGGCAGGAGAAATTTGGCCATTACAAAGACACAGAAATACGTTAAGAAACGAGGGGCAGGATGAAATCCTGCCTAGGGCGGGTGTTTAGAGGGAGGGAGCCGCCGCAAAATGAAATCCTCACTATGAAACAAAGGTGGAGGCAGGAGGCTGCGTTGGGTGGGAGAAGCGGAGGAAGGAGACGAAAGGGACTGTCATTTTCGTGTCGTGGCTTTTTGGAAGAGAGCCATGTCCTCCACCCGGTTCCATGAAAATGCGTTGCTCTCCCTCTGCTACGGAAACAGGCGTTGGGGATGCCGGCAGCGTTCAGTCAACGGGGTGATTCCTGTGGCGGCAACAGGAATAACATAAAACGCAGAGGCCGGGACGGTATGTCTTTTTACGTCTCCCCAGATGCAAACGTGGATGCGTGAGGTTTGGTAACAGGCAGAAAGTCATCTGGTTAACGGGATTGATGGGAATCCCCTCCCCGGCCGGGCAAAAAGCCATCGGGTGAACGGGGTGGGTCAGATCCCCTGTCCTGAGGGGAAGATGGTTTCTTGCAGAACGAGGTGAAGGAGGTGGTTCTGCTCAGCAGTCAACAGCGGCCACATCTCCACCTGCAGCGACTTGATGGCTTCCGTGTCCTTTTCGTGGGTAGCCATGACCAAAGACTGGAGCAGCAGAAAGAGCTCCTCGGGAAGCTGGCCGCTGCTCTCCTGCCCGTGGCTGTCAAAAGCCTCCCAGGAGTACTTCTCCAGGGTCTGGGCGTGCTCCGGCAGCAGCTTGGCGGGCGGTGGTTGCAGGAGGAGCAGCAGCAGAACGCGGGACACCTCGCAGCGGACCAGCAGGTCCGAGAAGGCGCCCAGGGCGGCGGGAGAGGGCGCCGCGGAGCCGGCGTTCGGAGCAAGCAGCGCCGCCGGTAGGGCGGGCGTCGCCCCGGGCCCGGACTGCGGCCCCGCCGGCGGGGGCGGCGGCGGCGGCAGCGGCTGCACCGGGTGGCTGCCGTGCTCCCGCGCCAGGCGCTGCATGCGCGTGAAGAGCGCCAGGGCGCCGGTGTAATCGCGCGCCAGCAGCTGGCAGGAGGCCGCCTCGCCGAGCGCCTGCATCGCGGCCAGGGGCAGCTGGGGCAGCTGGAGCTGGGCGGCGCGCTGGAAGTGACCGGCGGCGGCGGCCGGCTGGCCCAGGTCGCGCAGGGCGGCGGCCAGCTCGAGGCACAGGGCGGCGGCGGCGGCCGGCTGGCCCAGCTCGAGGTGCAGGCGCACTGCGGCGCCCAGGGCGCTGGCGGCGGCCTGCAGCGGCTCCCCGTAGGCGGCGGGGCAGACCAGGCGCTGGCGCGCGTCGCGCTCCTGCCGCAGGAAGAGGCGGGCGGCCTCGGTGAGGGCCAGCGCCTCCCCGGGCCCGTGGAAGAGCGCCTGCTGGCAGCGCGCCACCGCCAGCTGGCACCAGGCCGCGTACGGCAGACACTCCTGGGCGCGCAGCTCACGGCCCAGCTGTCCGAACTGCTCGCCGGCCTCCGCCACGTTCGGCTTCCGCAGGAACCGCTTCTTCAGCTTGTTCGATACAAGCCGGTAGCGGGCCAGGAAGTCCCCGGCCTCGGGCCCGGGGCCGGCGCCGGCGCCGCCGCCACCCCCCAGGCCGGCCGCCGCCGCCGCCGCCATGGTCGCCGCCCCAAGCACGTCCGGCCGCTGGCGGGCGTGGCGGTGCGACGTGCCCCGCGTCCCCCTTGGCTGGCTGCCTGCCGGCGTGCGCGCGCAGGCTGGCTCCCCAGCCCGAGCCTGCCCCTTGCCTCGGTGATCTGCAAAGAACGGAATCGGAATCGGAATCGGAGGCGGGGCCTGGCCGGGCTGCAGCGGCGTATGCAAATCGAGGGGCTCGGGGACGCGGGTCCAAGACCCGGGAAAGGCTCGCGGGGCCTGGCCGGGTGCCAGCTGCTGCTAGCTTGGCTGCAACGCAAGTGGTGTCCTTTGCTACAGGCGTCCCGGAGCCTCTCCATCTGAACACGACCCAGACTAAACTCGTGACCCTCATTCCGTGGCTGTGCATTTCTGGACTGTTCCCCGCCCAACCACCACTCACTCCTTCATCTTCCCGTCCAGGGCCCCATGCCAGCCGCCGGGTCCACCTCGTCGTCCGCACCCTGGTTGCCTGTGGAAGTCCGTCCTGTCGCAACACGGCAGTCACGGTCTTGAGGTCCACCCGCCCCAATGAACACCATTGTGCTGAGGACTTTGCCGGGAAGGCCCTCCTGACTTGCTCAGAACCAGCCGGGCTGCCCTCTTCCCACCCAGGGCCATCCACCCCCCCCACCCCCACCCCACCCCCTGCACTGTCACCGGGAGACACTGCTCCTCTGTGCCATCCCTGACTCCCAGCCAACCCCAGAGCCCCACCTGTCCATCCCTCCAGCTATGGAGGTCTCTTAACGCCCCACCCCATCGCACGTCCCCTCATCCCACACCCCCCTCCCTCCCCCAAGGCAAAGTGACTGAAACAGGCAGGTGGGATCCATTAAACACTTTACTGACAGAATTAATGAATGAAGGCCCAAGAGACCTCGGGGCCGGTGGAAACAGGGGGTGGTTTGGGGGCTGGGGGATTTGGGGCTGGGTGGGTGGACGAGTGGACCTGCCAGGTCCCAGAAGTCGTGCGTCGTCAGCAGCTAGTCCCGGCCGGGAACCACTTGAGAGACGGTTGTTGTGTCAAAGAGGGTGCTCAGCAGCGCGTTGTCGTGAACCGCCATGTCCAGCGGCTGTGGAGTGATGGTCCTCTCTCCGTTGTTGTGGGCCTCCTTGCCCGCCAGCTCCAGGATCTGGGCCGTCAGGTACTGAATCACGGCAGCGAGGAAGACTGGCGCAGAGGGACTCAGGCGCTGGGCGCACTGGCCTTCCTGTAGACTACGCTCCACCTCGCTCACAGAAAACAAAAGCTCCCCTCGGGCGGTGCGAGAGAGGGTATGCCCCCGGCCGCCAGCACCAGAGGACCCTCGACGGCTCCTCCTCCCCAACATGCTGGGTGTTGGGTGCCCTATCTCGGCTCGGCTTGCTCTAGCACGACAAGATGCCTCTCAAGATGACCGTTATCGCGTCCAGTACCGTGTATCTTAGCGACCAGGGCCCAGCCCCTCATTGGCTGGGGAGCCCAGTCCCATGGGCACGCACATCCTCGTGCCACCACGTCACCACATGGTGACGGCCTCGCTCCCACGTGGCCACGGCCTCACCAGGGACACGCCCATCAGGTGACGTCACCTCCTTCCCATTGGCCCCGAGGGAGCAGGCCTGGGCCTGGAAGAGGCTGGAGGGCACGCCCATCAGGTGACCTCACAGCCTTCCCATTGGCCCCGAGGGAGCAGGCCCGGGCCTGGAAGCGGCTGGAGGCCCGGGGTGGGTGCGGAGTGGGGCGGGGAGGGGGCATCCCGCTGGTGACCCTCTCTGCGCCAGTGGGGGAACTCTCCCTTTCTACTGGTTGGGAGAAAGACAAAGGGACGGCCCAGGGGAGGATGCTGGGTACGGCTCCTTCACAATGTTGCAGACCCGTCGCAACCACCTGGTTCCAAAACAGTTTCAACACCCAGAAGAGTAACCGAAACCCCTGTACCTGTAAGCGGTCACTCACCACACGCCTCCTTCCACACGTCCGCTACCGCCGCCCCCGCCACATACACACGTTCCCGATAGTCCCCTTGCAACCACTAACCAATCTGCTTTCTGTCCATAGAGGTTTGCCTGTTTTGGAGATTTCCTGTAGATGGAATCATACAACCAAATGGGAGGCCTTGTGTGTCTGGCCGCTTTCACTTAGCGTAATGTTTTCATCAGGGTTCATCCATGTAGAGGCGTGAATCAGTTCTTCCTGCCTTTGAATGAATGAATAATATTCCGTTGTATAGATAGGCCACATTTTGTTTATCCACTCATCAGGTGATAGACAAGTTATTTCCCCCTCTGGCTATTGTGAATAGCACTGCCATGACCATCTCTGTACAAGTTTTTGTTTGAATACCTGTTTTCAGTTCTTTTGGGTCTATTTCTAGGAGCCAACCTGCTGCTTCATATGGTAATTCTGTTTAACTTATTGAGGAACCACCAAACTGATTTCCACAGCAGCTGTAATCGTTCGCATTCCCAACAGTAGTGCATGAGAGTCCCAGTTTCTTCACATCATCAAAACTTGTTTTCTGTTTGCCTCATTTTGTTTCATTTATAATAGCCATCCTAGTGGGTGTGAAGCGCTATCTCATGGTGGTTTTCATTTGCATTTCCCAAATGGCTAATGATGTTGCTATGGCTTGAGTGTGTCCCCCAAATTCTGTGTGTTGGAAACTTTTTTTTTTTTTAATTTTTTATTGGATTATAGGTTTTGGGGTACATGAGCAGAGCATGCAAGACAGTTGCGTAGGTACACACATGGCAGTGTGCTTTCTTTTCTTCTCCCCTTCACCCACATTTGGCATTGGAGACGCAGCCTTTCAGACGGTAATTGGGATTAGATAAGGTCGTCGGGGTGAGACCCCCATAATGGGACTGGTGGCTTTATAAGAATAGGAAAAGAGGCCTGAAACGACATACATGCTCTTGCCCTCTGACCACCTGATATCCCCTGCCATCACCAGATGCTGAGGCACTTCCCAGTCCCCAGAACGGTAAGAAATAAATTTCTCTTCCTTATAAATTGTTCAGTGTCAGGTATTCAACTATAGCAACAGAAAACACACTAAGACATCTTTTCATGTGCTTCTTTGCCTTTTGTACCTCTACTTTGGAGGAATGTCTACTCAAGCCCATTGCCCCTTTTTTAAATCTGGTTGATTGTATTTTGGCTGCGGGGTTCTAAAACTTATTTATATATTCTTGAAAATAGACTCTTATCGGATATGTGATTTGCACATGTTTCTCCCATTCACTTTCTGGATAGTACCCTTTCTTGCCCAAAAGATTTTAATTTGGATGTAGTCCAATTTGCCAAATGTAAAAAATGTCTGTGGCTGTCCCTTTGGTTTCATACGGAAGGAACTGTTGCCTAATCCAAGGTCCTGGAAAGTTACATCTCTATTTTCTTCTAAGAGTCTTACAGTTTCAGCCCTTACATTTAGACCTGTGATCCATTTTGAATTAATTTTTTACACGGTGTGAGGTGGAGGTCCGGGGCATTCTTTTGCATTTGGCTATGCAGTTGTCCTAGCACAATTTGTTGAAGGGATTATTGTTCCCCGCCACCCCCCATCCCTGCCCATTGAGTGGTGCTAGCACTCTTATTGAAAATGAACTATGCATAAACATATGGGTTTATTTCTGACCCCGAGTTCTGTAACATTGACTTAATATATCTATCGTGATGCCAGTACCACCCTTTTTGGATTAGTTTAGCCTTGTAGTACGTTTTGAAATTGGGAGTGTGAGTCCTTTAAATTTTATCTTTTATGAGATTCTTTGGGCTATCTGGGTCCCTTACATTTTCATAAGAATTTTAGGATTAGCTTGTCAATTTTTACAAAGAAAGCAAGTTGGATTCTGACAGGCATCACGATGAATCTGTATATTGCCTTGGAGATTATGGGCATCTTAATAATATTATGTGCTCCAATCCTTAACACAAAACGCCTTGCAGTTTATTTAGGTCTTGTTTAATTTATTTTAGCAATGTCTTGTAATTTTCAGACTCTATGTCTTGTACAGCTTTTGTTAAATTTATTCCTCTGTATTTTATTATTTCAATGCTACTGTAAGATAAATGATTTCCTCAATCTTATTTTCAGGTTATTCATTGCCCCACTGCCACCATGCATTCTGTTAATTATTGTGGGATAATTACTATTTGGTCATAGTGTATAAAGGATGGTCAATAAACATTTTGTTGAAACAACAGGAATGGATCTGACAAGCTTCTTGGAGGACAATGTGTGTGTTAAAGAATCTGTAGCATGAGATTTGGCTGGGCACACAGAGTCAAATCATCTCAGTTTCTTTTGATGGACTCATTCCTGATCTTAGGGGGAAATCAGCCAGTCTTTCACCATCAAATATGATATTTTCTCTGGGTTTTTCATGGATGCCCTTTATCAGGTTGAAGAGGTTTCTTTCTATTCCTGGTTTGTTGAACTTATTTTCACCAAAAGGTATTGTGTTTTGTTAAGTGCTCCTTTTTGTACGTGATTAAGATGACCATGAGTTTCTCGCCCCGCTCCACCGCCACCATGCATTCTGTTAATATGATTTATTATATAAATTAATTTTCACATGTTGAACCAACCTTACGTTTGTGGGATAATTCCTATTTGGTCATAGTGTATAAAGGATGGTCAATAAACATTTTGTTGAAACAATAGGAATGGATCTGGCAAGCTTCTTGGAGGACAATGTGTGTGTTAAAGAATCTGTAGCATGATGAGAGAAGCCAAGGCACTGGTGGGAGGAGGGGAGTTGCAATCAATTCATTAAGCCTGGAGAGTAAGATGCCAATGGACTAGTAGTGGTTGGTGTGCTGGGAAAGAGGTAGGCAGGAGCTTGAAGAGTGAGTACAAGCTTGAACAACCTCGGAGACATGGAGGTTCTGTTATGCCATGCTCAAGTTTTAGAATACCATGTAGGCTACACTGAACCCACTGTGGTCTTTCAGCTTGGGAGTGACATGGCCTGATTTGCCTCTAGAAAGATCGCTCTGGAAGCTGTGTTGAGAATAGAACAGAGAGGATTGTGTGTGGAGAATAGAACAGAGAGGACTGAGATTGGAATTACAAGCTATCTTATGCCAGTGAAGAAATGACAGATGTCTCAACTAAGACAATGGCGTTGGTAGGTAAGACTAGGGGACAGAGTCCATACAAAGATTAGGTAGTAAAATGGCACATCGCAGGCACTCACTACACTACATATTAGTCATATTGGCAAACCTAGCTGGAGACACGATAATTCATTTGCTCATTCTTCAAAAAAATATTGAAGGGTACTGCCAGGCATACTGTGTTAAGCATTGAGACAACACCGATGAGAAATACAGATTAGGTCCCTGCATGCAGTCTGGTGGAACGTACAGACAAGGAACCAGACAATTACAACACTATACTGTGATAAGTGCTATGAGAGGGGAAGTTCAAGGTGCTGGTTATAGTTTGGTTTGTTTGACCCCTCCAAATCTCACGTGGAAATTTGATACCCAGTGTTGGGAGGCGGGGTCTAATGGAAGGTGTTTGGGTCATGGGGTGGATCCTTCATGAATGGCTTGGTGCCAGCCTCGCAGTAATGAGTGAGTTCTCACTAGATTCATTCCCACAAGAACTGGTTGTTAAAAAGAGTGTAGCACCACCGTCCCCCCCCACCTCGATTCCTCTCTCACCATGTGATCTCTACACTTGTTGGCTCCTCTTCACCTTCTGCCACGAGTGGAAGCAGCCTGACCCTGTCACCAGAAACCAAGCAGATGCCAGCACCATGTTTCCTATATAGCCTGCAGAACCATGAGCCAAATAAACATCTTTTCTTTATAAATTACCCAGCCTCAGGCATTCCTTTATAGCAACGCAGATGGACTAAGAAAGTGCTGTGGGAACACATTAATAGAAGTATTTTGGGCCGGGTGCAGTGGCTCACGCCTGTAATCCCAGCACTTTGGGAGGTCGAGGCAGGTGGATCACAAGGTCAAGAGATCGAGACCATCCTGGTCAACATGGTGAAACCCTGTCTCTACTACAAATACAAAAAATTAGCTGGGCATGGTGGCGCGTGCCTGTAATCCCAGCTACTCGGGAGGCTGAGGCAGGAGAATTGCTTGAACCCAGGAGGCGGAGGTTGCGGTGAGCCGAGATCGCGCCATGGCGCTCCAGCCTGGGTGACAAGAGCAAAACTCCGTCTAAAAAAAAAAAAAAAAAAATATATATATATATATATATATATATATATATATATAAACTTGCAAGTCATCAGGGTAGTTCTTGAAACCATGCATGTAGTTGAGACCATTTGGGGAGAGCACATAGAGAGAATATATAAGGGGACCAAGGACAACTTCTTTTAAGAAGCAAGCAAAACAAGAACATCATTGGAAGAAGAATAGAGGAGTGTCTCCATAGATAAAGTTCGTGGTGGGGTTGGGGGGCGGGAGTGGGCAGGGCATGCTGGAAGATAAGCCAGAAAGAGATGAGAGCAAAGGTTAACAAGGAAGCCAGAAGAACTGAGCAAGAAGTGACAAACTCAGAAACACTCGCTGATTCCAGAATGATAAGCATTAAAACCTGTTCACTGGGGCCAGGCGCGGTGGCTCACACCTGTAATCCCAGCACTTTAGGAGGCCGAGGCCGGTTGATCACGAGGTCAAGAGATCGAGACCATCCTGGTCAACATGGTGAAACCCCGTCTCTACTAAAAATACAAAAAAATTAGCTGGGCACGGTGGCACGTGCCTGTAGTCCCAGCTACTCGGGAGGCTGAGGCAGGAGAATTGCCTGAACGCAGGAGGCGGAGGTTGCCGTGAGCCAAGATCGCACCATTGCACTCCAGTCTGGGTAACAAGAGTGAAACTCCGTCTCAAAAAAAAAAAACAAACACAAAAACCTGTTCACTGAATTAGGCAATGCAAGTGTTGCTGGGGGCCTTGGCAAGAGCAATTTCAGTGGAGGGGTTGGAGGCAGAAACTAGAATGGACTTGTACCAGGAGCTCGTGGGAAATTCTAAGACATATCTTCCCAGTACTAGGCAGCATGATAAATGTCCACACTAGAGAGAATTGGTGAGCACGTCATGCTCAGCCAAGGCATTTTACACGCCTAGTGGAATCTCATGTAGAAAACTTCTCGAAGGGTCAAGGTAAGGGTAGAGTCTGATAGAAACAATCTGCCTTGGCCGGGCGCAGTGACTCAAGCCTGTAATCACAGCACTTTGGGAAGCCGAGGCGGGTGGATCACGACGTCATGAGATCGAGACCATCCTGGTCAACATGGTGAAACCCCGTCTCTACTAAAAATACAAAAAATTAGCTGGGTGTGGTGGCGCGTGCCTGTAATCCCAGCTACTCGGGAGGCTGAGGCAGGAGAATTGCCTGAACCCAGGAGGCGGAGGTTGCGGTGAGCCGAGATCGCGCCATTGTACTCTAGCCTGGGTAACAAGAGCGAAACTCTGTCTCAAAACAAATAATAATAATAATAAAAAAAGAAAGAAACAATCTGCCTTACTTTTTCTTCATCTGCGAATGTCTTGACTTCCCCTGTGTATGTGTTTTGCCATATTTGTAATCTTCCAGCCATTATTTAGTTGAATAGTTTTTCAAGTCCCACCGCCTTTCTCCTTTCCTTCTGGCACCACGATGACACAAAAGTTAGCTCTTTTGTCCTATTCTCACAGACCCTTGAATCTGTGCTCATTTTGTCCCCCAGTCGCTTGGACTCAGGTCACATGTTCTGACCAGGGGTCTTAATGTTAGTTCCATTTTCAAAACCTTCACAATGACGTTTGGTTCTGTTAAGCATGATCAGCCGTCTCGGAGCTGGCGAGGTCTGTATCCCTTAGTGCAATTCTCAAAGTCCTTTGTATGTTGTATAGGATCACATCTGTACAGACACAGCTTGGGGGTTAGCCCAGAAGTTCACACATAGCTTTGTGGGTTTAGTTTCCCAAGCAATTCCTCCCTGCCTGCAATCTCCCCAGCACTTTCTGCTTCCCTCAGCTTCCCTTTTTCTTTTTTTAAAAATTTTTTTATTTTTTATTGCGTTTTAGGTTTTGGGGTACATGTGCAGAACATGTAAGATAGTTGCATAGGTACACACGTGGCAGTGTGTTTTGCTACCTTTCTCCCCTTCACCCACATTTGGCATTTCCCCCCATGCGCTCTCACCTCAACTCCCCCCCACGCTGTCCCTCCCCTATTCCCCCCAGTAGACCCCAGTGTGTAGTACTCCCTTCCCTGTGTCCATGTGTTCTCATTGTTCATCACCCGCCTATGAGTGAGAATATGCGGTATTTCATTTTCTGTTCTTGTGTCAGTTTGCTGAGAATAATGTTCTCCAGATTCATCCATGTCCCTACAAAAGATAGGAACTCATCATTTTTGATTGCTGCATAATATTCCATGGTGTATATGTGCCACATTTTCCCTGTCCAGTCTATCATCGATGGGCATTTGGGTTGGTTCCAGGTCTTTGCTATTGTAAACAGTGCTGCAGTGAACATTCGTGTGCATGTGTCCTTATAGTAGAACGACTTATAGTCCTTTGGATATATACCCAGTAATGGGATTGCTGGGTCAAATGGAATTTCTATTTCTAGGTCCTTGAGGAATCGCCACACTGTCTTCCACAATGGTTGAACTAATTTACACTCCCACCAGCAGTGTAAAAGTGTTCCTATTTCTCCACATCCTCTCCAGCATCTGTTGTCTCCAGATTTTTTAATGACCGCCATTCTAACTGGCGTGAGGTGGTATCTTCCCCTTTTCAACCTTCTAGCCAGAATGCTGTTGCTCTCGCCTTAGTTACTCTTCTCTGTCACACACTTCCTGTGCCTTTGCCTTTTCTTCTGGTGTCATTTGGCAGGTAGACCAAGAGTGAAGAAAGAAGTCATGGGCACCCTCTTGGGGCCACAGCTCCTACAATCAGAGAGGAAGGTTATTTTCCTTCAGAGTTTTCATCACCTGAAGGTCCTGGCAGATGCCCCTGTCACTGTCACTGCCTCTGTGACCACCACTGCTGTCACAGGCTTGCCTGTGGTCTAGAACATGAAAATATGAAGAAAAGAAGAAACAAAACTGGGGATTCCCTTAACTATTAAGGGTTAGTATTCTCTTTTCCCTCTTCTCAAGTCAGAACCAGAGCTCTCTCTGTGCACACCACTCCCTGCTTCTAACTTGCAGGCTACATTGAGCCAAGGATACCAAGAGGGGAAAATGTCAAGTTCACCACTGTTTCAGTGGTGCTTCAGATGATAGTCTTTCCCCAGTCTGCCTCCTTTCGTTTACTTTTCGGAGTCCTCAAATAGCTGCCCCATGCACTGTGTCCACATTTTATAGCTGCATTCAGTAGAGTATGCATGCTGAAACATTCTGGAGATGTTACATTTTACTTTTATATTTAAGTGGAACAGATTTGTTTCCTTGTAAGTAATCGATTGTATGTGTGTGTGTGTGTGTGTGTGCGCGCACACGCGTTCGCATGCATGTGCTTAGGTGCCTAAAAAAATTCTTTAATTTTTTTCGAAGTACCATAACACAACTAGAATATATCTCAATATCGATTGTCTTGCATCATTTTTTCCTGGTAGAGACTGTCCTTTTGAGGAGCAGGTTCGATTCCCCCTTCATTTATGGAAACTTTTCACATACGGCATCTGTGGATATTTTTCTATTCCATTTATTAGGCTCTTTACTAAGACTATTTACTAAATTATCTTAATGTTGGGTCAGCATTAGCATGAACATTTAAAGTCCTTCCTCCATGTGCTGGTTTCGATTTGTGTGCATGTCTCTTCTGCATCTTGCTCTTCCGTGTGGTTCTTTGGGTTCTCAGTTTCTTTTCTGAACTTAGTAATCTCCTTTTTGTTAAAAAAAAATCAAATTCTGTTGCCAATCATCTTGCCTTTGAAACTTTGTTAGGTTGAAATCATATTCTTTTTTTTTATTATTGCATTTTAGGTTTTGGGGTACATGTGCAGAACATGCAAGATAGTTGCATAGGTACACACGTGGCAGTGTGTTTTGCTGCCTTCCTCCCCTTCACCCACATTTGGCATTTCTCCCCAGGCTATCCCTCCCCAGCTCCCCCCCCGCTGCCCCTCCCCTATTCTCCCCAATAGACCCCAGTGGGTAGTGCTCCCCTCCCTGTGTCAATGTGTTCTCATTGTTCATCGCCCGTCTATGAGTGAGAATATGCGGTATTTCATTTTCTGTTCTTGTGTCAGTTTGCTGAGAATAATGTTCTCCAGATTCATCCATGTCCCTACAAAGGACACGAACTCATCCTTTTTGATTGCTGCATAATATTCCATGGTGTTCTTAATTTTACTATGGCTTGCAGGACTCTAAGTTTAGTTGCATTTGTTCCTTGTTTTATGCATTCTTCCAGTCTGTGATTGCTGTCTGTCTTTTGTATACTACGATGCTTTCTTCTGGCTTGCTTTCTCTTTCTCTCTTTTCTTCCTATTTCTTTTCTTCTTTTTCTTCCTTCCCTCATCCCCTCTTCCCTTTCCCCTCCTTTCTTCCTTCCTCCTCCCTTCCTTTCTTCCTCCCTCCCTCTCTCTCCTCTCTTCTCTTCTTTTCCCTCTCCCTGTCTATCCCTGTAGATTGTTAGCATCATTGCCAAACCATTTATTTATTTATTTTTTGAGACAGAGTTTCGCTCTTGTTACCCAGGCTGGAGTGCAACGGCGCGATCTCGGCTCACTGCAACATCCGCCTCCTGGGTTCAGGCAATTCTCCTGCCTCCTGAGTAGCTGGGACTATAGGCACGTGCCACCGTGCCCAGCTAATTTTTCGTATTTTTAGTAGAGACGGGGTTTCACCATGTTGACCAGGATGGTCTCGATCTCTTGACCTCGTGATCCACCCACCTCGTCCTCCCAAAGTGCTGCGATTACAGGCGTGAGCCACCACGCCCGGCCTTCAAAAATCATTTTTGTAGCAGTTCCAGTGGGGCTTTGGGAGATGGCAAAGTTAGATGTGGAAGTATCTGCTCCACCTTAACTATGCATCATCATGAGCACTGGTGTCTGTCTGCCTGTCTCATTGGTTCTACACACCTTCGTTACCACACCACTCTCCCTAAAACTCTCCAGAGTCAGCTTTTCTCATCTGGCCTCTGACCTGTTCTCTGACCATTCTGTTCTTTCAGCTCTCAGCCTTTGGACT